TGTGTGGTATTATGCTCATTTTATGAAATTATTGTTAATCAGAGAAAACTGGCATAATTAAGTATTTAAATAAACCGAAATGGAGCGACTAATATAGAAGGTATGTTTATGTCAGGATAAACGTGTTTAGGAAATAGGAAAGGAATATTTAATAATAAAATACATGTATTGCGCGCTTTTCTGTTGGAATTATTGTATAGTGTTTATGATAATTTTTATAATTAATTTCTTTATTTGTCGTTCACGACTTTTCGTCTTTAACACATTAATGTAATGTCAAAAATTTTTTAGATTATATGTTTACTGCACATTAAATTAAAAATTTAAGTTACTTACTCTTATAAAATATGTGTAATGTGTCTGAGAGTAAAGTGATGTTTTGATTAAAATACACATATTTTCATCTTAATCTAAGTGAGGTAAATTTATTAGAAATATAATATATAGGTAAAGGGCTAATAAGTGTCAAACATCTAAAATTAAAAATTGAATCAACGCAAATATATTGACTTAAATATAAAAATTAAACATTAATAAAATATATAATGCGTTTTTTTTTTTAATCAATTTTTAATTTTAAATGTTTGACTTTTATTACCCTTTTACTCTTATTAGCCTATTTATTATATTTTGAATACTAAGAGTCCTTTACTTATATATTTAATATTTATTAGGATTAAAATTCCTATAACTGTGTTAATATTTTTTTATTTTCATATCACGCGATCTGTTAAGGCTGTTATGCCTTTGCAAATTCAAATATATTTCTATGAAATATTTAATATAAATATTTAAAATTACAATATTAGTAGGACCGTTGGAATTTCAAACAATAATTGAATAAAGGCCTAATGACGGTCAAGCAAGATTTAGGTTGCTACAGTAATGTGTGAATTTTATTTACCAAGTATGTAGTAGTCTTCTTTAATCGCGCGCCGAAATATTTTCAGTCTTTTACAAACGCAACTCTAAATAACTACCGTAGTAATATCACTAGTTAAATTGACACGCAATCTAACAATATTTTATGCTTAGAGCATCTTATAGGATCTTAATAATATGTTGAAAGACATATATTAAATTTTAATGATTTGTTATTAATTAATGTAAATTAAATTAACAATAAATCAAATTCTGTGAAAAATAAGATTGCGAAGAATATCACAAGTTGGCGTTTCGTCCCGATTTCCACTACTAGACTCATCAGTAAGATAATTGTAATGGAAACCTACCTTAGACGCCTGGGGGAGATATTAGAAAGAAGTTCTTGTAATTTTAGAATCAATGTGCCTGCAAAATATGTTGTGAATTACTTAAAAACGGGAGCATTGTGAAGAATATCACTACGTCGACCAGCCTACAGAGGTCTATAGTTACGCTTGCTTCTCTCGCAAGTGCTAAGATACATAAGTATCTGTTTATATAGAACTTCTTTCTAATATCTCCCCCAGGTGTCTAAGGTAGGTTTCCATTACAATTACCTTACTGATGAGTCTAGTAGTGGAAATCGGGACGAAACGCCAACTTGTGATATTCTTCGCAATCTTATTTTTCACAGAATTTGATTTATTGTTAATTTAATTTACATTAATTAATAACAAATCATCAAAATTTAATATGTCTTTCAACATGTTATTAAGATCCTATAAGATGCTCTAAGCATAAAATATTGTTAGATTGCGTGTCAATTTAACTAGTGATATTTCTACGGTAGTTATTTAGAGTTGCGTTTGTAAAAGACTGAAAATATTTCGGCGCGCGATTAAAGAAGACTACTACATACTTGGTAAATAAAATTCACACATTACTGTAGCAACCTAAATCTTGCTTGACCGTCATTAGGCCTTTATTCAATTATTGTTATAAATATTTAACATAATACTGTTTACATTTTTTATAAAAGATGTGTATTTTAATCAAGACAATCATTTTACTCTCACACACGTTATACACATTTTATAAGAGTAACTTAAATTTTTAATTTAATGTGCAGTTAACATAAGGTTACCCTTTGTACCCACAGCTGCCGTTATATATAAGTAATCAAGATAAAAAAGTTTTTTTACGTACCTCAGTATTGGTATACAATAAAAACGCCATAAAATTACCTGACTTTATTATATGTGTATTTAAATAAGATTCCCAAAGGACCTCCGGTTTTTCAGGCCTTCATCCTGTCTCATCCTTAAATAATCCATTGTCTATTTGATTTCTGGAAAATATGTTCACATTTGATATAATTATAGAATGATCATTATTTCTAAGGCATTATTTTATTTTTAAATCACTTGTACATTTAATATTTTTGCAGTTTAATCATTGTTACGTTTTTAATATTTTAAATTGAACTTGTCAGTTTTATTATTTCATTAATTATTATTTTTAGTAATCAATATAAAATAACCTGATAAGACTAATTTTTTTATGCATGCTAGCAATGAATAAGCCTACTCACTGCAAGGTTGTTCCATCGGCGTCCGATTATGCTCTTTTCTTATGTCTCCCTCTCCTTTTCATGTACAAAGTTGTCGAGCCAGCTCCTCTATCTCTCTTCTCCTTGCATTACTTTGCGTAGACATTTGTTAGTTGAAGCAAATCGTTTGTTAAAGTCCTTCTCTGCAATAAACGACAAACGTATAGATTTAAGTTTCAATTACCATATTATATACTCGATCGTCTCAGAATCCGGATATTGATGCTCGAAATATGGAAAATGTATGAACAGAGTATTGAAAAATTTTTCCATTATTTTCAATGATAAAAGTTTTTATTTTTCACTTTCCATTCTAGAGAAAAAGTTTCATGATCGATACTAAAGTATATATCTAACCAGCGATCATGTATCTTTTCTCTACAGCGGATGAGCGGAAACGCGAAAAGTGAAAATTTTGATTTTTAACTATTCGGTAATTTCATCGAATTTCTGTTGCCGTGCTCTATAATTTTATATGGATAAAACTATATGTATCATGACCGTATCGTGTGAATGAGCTCTTACGCAAACAGATTATTATAGTATTTAAGTCGCGTCGCTTTTTGTTACGTGTGAAGCCACACGCGGAAAACGACGCCACTTCTCTATTTTTCGATCATTCGCATTTTATTCGCGGAATATGACGGGGATGACGCAAAGTGGCAGCGCAATCAAATGTAATTAAAACATAAACTTGTATTTAATAATTTTTCGATATTTATCACGCAATTAGAGACTCGGTATACCGCTGCCACTTTGCGTCATCCCCGTCACATTCCGCGAATGAAACGCGAATGATCGAAAAATAGGGAAGTGGCGTCGTTTTCCGCGTGTGACTTCACACGTAACAAAAAGCGACGCGACTTATTTATCAATTAATTTTCAAGCAAACGAGTAAAAATGTTCGAGAGTTTAAAGGTGATTATTGTTAAAATACTTCTCGCGTCGCATGTCAAACTTTTAATAATTTAATAATAATTATTAGTAATTACCTCGTTGGTAAATAATTCCGCGTCGTTCTCGTTGTTTTATTCTCTGCAAAGATGATCAGGACTTTTGGAAATCAGGACGCGTCTGGAGATAGCGGAGATCAGAATTCTTCCGAAGATAGTGGAGGATCAGGATGCTTCCGAAGAGACTCCATCCAGAATATTTGCGGAGATAGTGGTAATTCGTTCCAGACAGAGGAAGGATACAGTGCGAAACAAGAGAGCGAACTATTCCAACGTGATACACTGCACCCGTCCCCTGGCCGACTTGCGCCGACTTGCACCGACTTGCACAGACTTGCAAAAACGTGAAACTGCGGGAAACCGCGATATTTATATGCGCCGATCAGACTCGAACCCCCACCACTCGCAGCCAACCAATGAGCGCGTTGTGGCGCGATGCTCTGCTACAAGCGCGTATTCAAGCGCTGATCGGATCACACCGCTAGCTTTCTATTGAAGTATATAAAGCGCGAAGCGCAAAATTTTCAATAATTTTCAGATTTTGATGCTGTGTGGTTCTTGAGGACAGAGAAGTTGGCATATATTTAAAATCATGACAATAGCTGAACCCCGGGCATGGCCGCTCTCAGGCTTCTCTCTGCTATATCCTTGTTTAACATTCGCTGAACAACAATGATACTCGAAGATATGTATATATACGGGCAGTGTTTTCGAACGCAGCTTTGGAGCGCACTCTGGAGTCTGGCAGTTCAAGCCAGCCCCTGCCAGCACCTCCAATTTCCAATGTTTCATCCGAAGCAGTCAGGAAAAATGGCTGCGTTTATAAAGGCTGTGCAGACTAGAACGAGCATAAATGGCATAACAAAATTGTTCACTAATTTGTCTTTGACCCCCCCAAGTGTTATTGAGTCTCCTAAACGTGCATTTCTTCGCAGGTTCGTATTCCTCCTGAGCTGCGTCACTTATATTTTATAGCATTTCGTTCAATCTACCGGTGCTTCCTGATCCGCGATGTAATTTGTAGTTTATTCTTGGCTTGAAAGAATCTTAAAAATATTTTTGCCATCTCTAATATAATACTTAATTTCTTAACATATAAAAATTGTTTTTTAAGTGATTTTTTAATCGTTTGATAAATATAAAATAGGATTGCGGTTTGTTAGGTTATCATATCATACTTGTTCTAAATGTGGCATGTTGACAATAAACGAAATTTTAATGACAAATAAAATTGGTGCAAATAGATGTGTTTGATGTTAAATTTCGCTTTAACTCTCCGGAGCTGATAGTGGATCTAATCCATTCAATATTTTGTTATATCATTTTAATTTCTTAAATTTTAGAGTCTTTTAATTCACATAAATAAATCTTACAAATCCAGCTTTAGTAATTATATTATAGATTTTAGCATTCACACAACACACACAACACAGAGGGTTGAAAAATAGTAAGAATTAAGGATGAAGGTTTTGAATGTTTTTTTATCTTTTAATATATTTTCTTTACAAATGCAGTACACCAGCTTTGCACTGTGCATTTATACACTTTACATCAGAACGCCGTGATTTGATGGAATTTTTTGACGATCCAAAAAATTGGGGAAAAAATGAGATACGAGTTGGTCGATCTTGGAAAAAGGATGAATTGAGATTGAAGAGCAATTCGGATCTCCATAAATTATGGTGAAATTTGTCTATTTTGAATTTTGTGTTTCTTGATTTTTAGATGCCAGTGAGTTACAGATTTATATATTTAAATGTGTAGGTTTGTCTTATTGAAGGAACGTAATATGCTTATGACTATGGAAGAAGCTTGCAAGGATGCAAACGAGATCTTTCCAAATCCTGAACGTTTGGATAAAGTTCAAGATAGCATGAGTAACTTGGAGTCGATAGTTCGTGAAAGAAACAGAGCATATCATTTACTTGAGACTGGGGAAACAGGAGAGCGTCCTGGAAAACTTGTTTATAATTGCTTAGGTTTAAGATCTATACCATTTATATATAGTAACTTTCTATGTATATTTAAAGTTAAAAATATTTGATCGTCTACAAAAGTTATAATAGAAATTACATTATAAAAAATAACGTTTTTTTTGTATACCTAAAGTTTAAAAAAGTTTAGTAGAAAAATTACAACAGATATTGCATAGACACAAAAAATAAAATAATATTAGCTTTGTTATCTCTTTGTAGGTTTAAGGTTTTATTATCAAATGGGTCAACATTCTATTCCAAAGTTCGTAAACACAAAATGGTATAAAACACATATGTTTGGTTATGGTGGATATGCAACTCGCAAATTTCTACGCTTGTACAGAGAGAAACTGTGGAATAATAAACGCAGAGCAAGAACGTTCGTAGAAATAGTCTTTACTATTTGCTTAACACATACACAAGCGGTATGATATGTCTCTCAATTAATTTGTTTCCATTAAAAAAATTATTTTTTTCAGACGTAATAAAAATCATGTTGCAATGTTAATAAGAAAATTCCCGAATCTGGACCTTGAAGCTGTGAAAGAACAGTTTCCGGATGTTGATATAGAAAAGACAAAAGCATCCAAAAGAGCAATAGGTCATACTGTACCTGTGTAGGTGCAATTTCTGTTGATGCAAATTATTAAACGTTTGTTAATATATTTGTGAAATACTCGATTGCTAATAGAGTATATTAATGTATAAATTTATATATTTAGTATTTTCTTTATCATGTGTCTCTTAAGATTTACATTTCAAAAAATTTTAAATTAATTATATACAATAACCACATAAATAGTTTGTATGTAATGTAAAAAGATAAACAAAATATAAATTGTTCGATCAAATTTTCTTTATATACTTTACATTTTCTATTCATCATGAATCATGTATAGAATAATATTTTATCTAGTAAAACTATTAGTGAATCATATAACTATAGTTAAAAAATTATAGTAAAAATATTTAAATCTCTTAAATAGTGCATGAAATATGTACTCTGTAGAGAAAATTAAGAATATGACAAAAAAAAATGAAAGAATAGAAAATATAAGATTAAAAAAATATATACTGTTATATGTATATTATTGAAACTACTTATATAAATTATGAATTTAAAAGTACTTCATTCTCTTTCTTTCTGAAAATGTATTACATTTCCAAATATGTAATATAAAAAGATGAACAAAATAAAAATTATTCAATCAAATTTCTCTTTATATACTTTTATTAATTTTCTATTTATCATAACTCTTGCATCTATTTATCATAACTGGGTTGTGTACGGTGATACAGAATTTTTGTGTGTGAAAGGTGTACGGATGTAACATTTAAAACATGCTGGCTGTAACTTGTAGAAAATTTAATTCCGCATACTTTTCACACAGCACTAATATATAAAACCGATTTTATCTTTGCGTGGTACTTATTTGCTTAATTTACATAAATCTGACAGAAATCTCAAGAACTTAACAACATTGACATTTACATTACTTAACAGCGTATCACAATCACGTACGAAGCTACATGAAATAATGCAGAAATCAAATATTTATTCACAAAAATATTCGGAATGCATCCATTCATGTAGCTTTGGTAACACAAGATTATAACTTAAAAAATTATAACAAATATCTTATGACCAACAATATTGATGTATGTTATAGATAGTAGTATCATATCACAAATAAAATTTATTTTCATGTACAGCTTTTCTCACATATATCGGTTCATGTCGTATTAAGCATATTTAAAACAATTTAACTCAATTTTTTAAGATATAAATAATGTGTTATTTATCAATTTTTTAAGCATAAATACTTATCATTTTGGTATATAATCTTTGTGTAACTTTAATTTGCTATTATTTCATAAAACAATTATTAAAAAATTTTAATATATTCATGATGCAACATAAGTTGATACAACCTATATTTTAACTAACTGAATAACTTTAATATTACAATATATTAAACTAAATTAATATACAACGCGTATAATACAATTATTATGCTCGCATTGCACTTGTTTGCATAAAAAAAAATAGATACGAAATAAATTTTATAACTTTAACTACATATCACAAATGATACGTAGAAAGTTTTGATACTAAAAGTAAAATTGATTTATAATTATAAATATAACAGTAGGAATGCTAAATTATACAAAAATTTCAAACGCTATTTATAAAGTATTATTCTTTGTCAAAACTGCTTTACGTGATTCTGAATTTCATAATATCATCTCGGACAATAAATATCTACTTTAATATCAATCGTGCTTGTATTCAAATGCATACTGGTTCGTCTCTTCAAATATATGTGAATATATAGACATTCATATAGTAATCAATAATGTCTCACAGTTATCATTATATTACAATCTCTGAATATTATTATAAATTAATAATAGCTTATTATGGAGGCTTACGCTACAAGAAAGATAATGCATCATTTTGCGATTTTCCTAAATAGTTATCTATACGTTTGAGGCAACTTATATGCAAGGTAATGCTCAATCTTTCATCAACGTCGCAATATAGTGAGAATATACCGCGCATATATTTGTATCTTGAAATTAGAAATATCATATGTCATAAATTAGTCCAAATAAGGACATCTACAATTCTACTTATAAGCCACAAAATAACTCCGATTGTTCTAGTTCCAAGTGACAGATATATGGCATTTAACTTTTGCAACAGAAGCAAAGATTTGTATTATGTTGTATAAGCGGTTTACGTCTCTTTGGCATACGATATATTAGTATTTGAATTTTCAGATTTATAGTTACCTGGATATTCACGTGCGTTGTTACGAGAATTCTTTATGTTCTATTATATTTTATATGAGTCTTTTTTAATATGATAAAATAATTTCTCAAATGACGGTGTATATATTGTCCATTGGTAAATCTTCCATTTATTCTAAAGCTGGTGGTAGCAAGTACCGCCAGGCATGTTCCAAATCTCTGCTGGCATCCGAGCAACGTCGCTGCAATTTATCCTCCGGTGGAAGTGTTGCCATGGGAAACTCACCCTTAAAAGTTGAGAGATTATATTAACACGTGAATTTAATGTTACAATTACAAAGTCTGGCCATAAGCGGCTTCATCAAAACCAAAAAAGTTTTTATCATTCTTATATTTATCAAATACAAAAAAAAAAGAAAGAAATGTACTATATATATTTTTCTCGTAAGATTTTGACAAAATCGTTCATGGTCAGATCCCTAATTATAAGTGTTGCTCGCGTTATATCTTACCAAGTTTGCATCGGTCCATAATGTTTCCAAAACCTCTTTAAAAGTACAAAGTTCAGTGTAATTTGTGAAGTATATAACCCAATCGCCACTACTTTCATGTACCTCTCGACACGCAAATTCCTACAAATATATGATAATAAACTATTGATTAAATTCCAATTAGCGACAAAACAAACTTAACAATCTTTATACATATTTTTGACTTTTGATAATATATATTTACCAGAATACACCACGATTGCTGTAGCAACGGCACCCTGAACGTTGCTAGATCCTTGATGGAAGCGCACGAGAGCGTTTGGCCCCTCTGCGTACCAGGATGAATCTCTTTCATCGCCACTAGGTGTTTTGTGGTTGTGATAAGACTGCAAGGTAATGGCTCTCTCTTTTCCGTACTATCGAATAGACCCGATGCGCTTTGAACGAAGCTCTGTAACCACTCCGAAGCAACGTATTCGTCCGGAGCAGCAAATTGATATGATTTATTGGGCTTTAACAGTATTTCAAAGGTATGCGGTCGATGAGAATTGGGAATTCTTCTGCATCCTTGGCATAAGCCGCCTTTTAACGGTATGGCACGTTTGGGAAGTCGCTGATTCGAATCCGTGAACATATAAACCACTCCGCCTTTTAATACAAAATAGCCGGCCTCCCAGGGATGCGTGGGTGCATTTGGATGCAAGTGCTGGTAAGTATGTGGCCGGAACATCAGATCACCTTCTTTCATTGGCCCACATGGTGTACTAGGTGGTGACATGTGTTCGTCTTCCATATAAATAAGGCTGTAATGTTCTATTTTTTCATCCTGTAAAGATAATAAAAAAAATTAAAAATAGATTCTGCAATATAATACAGATAATGTCCTAATATTATAATATAATATAATTCTGTACTAATATTTATTTATAGAACTTTTTAGAACTTATAATTACTGAAAATAAAAATACAAAATATCTTACTACGTTAAGATATGAATTCTATCTTAATGAAATTTTCGGTTTATATATATATATATATATATATATAATTATCAAAATAAATAACATTTTTTTAAATGCGACTTCTCGATAATTGACATATTTCTTTCTAATCTATTCTAAAAACTTATAAAATTTCCAAAAATACGTTATCATAATCTTTAAACATAGTGTACACACTGGATGTACAGCTGTATCAGTGAGAATTGAATTCCTCAAAATATGCATATCTTCGTAGTTCAATTCTTTAACAGCAGGAAGCCTCGGTTTTGTCGGCGATCGTCTCATGGCCATTTCTAAGTGGCTAATTAATTCTGAGGTAGTTTGCGAGCTGCCAGTGGAGAACAGATATTGCATTTCGCAATCGGCGTTGGAAATTAAAATACTCTGTGCATTTGGGCCAATCTATAAACAAACGTATATTAATTTTAGCAAAATATATAATGTATGATATATAAGTATGATTATTTCTTACCATAATAACATCTAGCTCATTATAAGGAATAACGAATTGATTACTGTAAGAATGGTCCATTTTCGAGCTAGTTAAATATAGCGTTTTGTCTGTCAATAACGCGATCATCGGCTTGCTTTCGCCATTTGTCATATACGAACTTCGTACTTTGTATACTTTATATAGCTCCTCCGTTTTGTCACGATAGATATGTCTCTTAAAAAGTTCACGCAGCTTTAGGCTTACTTTCTCACCGCTGAATTCCTGCTTCTCGGCAGCCACGTTCTCTTGGATCTCTTTATCGAGATTGTCGTTAAAATCTTTAAAAGAATCATAACTCATCTTAATTCCTTTGATATATAAAGTATTCGCCTTCGGCGGTTTCTTGTTCTTCTTTATTTCGAACTTTCTCTCAGTAATCGATTTCAGAAATCTGCTCAGTAACGACGTCTTTGACGGTGCCTGACGTAAAGGCGGCGCTAAGAGCTTACTGCTACTTTCACCAGTTAGTATCGCCGTCATATTACGTTTCTTCGACGGTGAGACCAAGTGTCGATTACCCCTACGTTCCTCCAGCTCGGATGTTGTTACACTATCCGTATCCGACCAATCGTTCGAATATTTCTTCGGAGTCAATGATTGCGGCATTTCTAACTTGGATGGTGGATCTTCAACAATATTACCGCATGCCTTTTCGACGATATAGGCTTCCTGAGCCTCGTTCTCTCCCAATTCTATTTCCATCTTAGGCCTCAAACTCTTGCCTGGATCCTCTTGACCTTCTGGCGCTCCGCGCTCCAATAACGATAAATTACAGTTGCACCTACAATTACGTTGACATGGCATATCAATGCACAATTTTGTCAATTCCTGCTTATCAGTTCCATCACCGTCAAATACACTCGACGATGATGATGAGAAGCAGTCCGAGTAGCAATCGGAGTGCACGTTCCTGCCAGTATTTTCATTTTTCTGCATGTACGGCGAATCT